AATCTTATGAGATTTAGAATATTGAATTTCATAGTTTTTTTTAATATTTTTTTAATTTTAGTTTTTAAAATTTCATAGTTGGCAAATGGCAGGTAATTCTTTTTTAGGGGCAATGAAAAAAGAGTGGAGTTGAGGTTTGTTGGAGTTCAAGCAATATGAATGTAACTTATTTTAACAGCCCAATCTTATGAGATTTAGAATATTGAATTTCATAGTTTTTTTTAATATTTTTTTAATTTTAGTTTTTAAAATTTCATAGTTTCTATCCATCAATGAAAAAAGCTACGGATCTAATTTCATTACATAAGAATATTTATAGTTCTATCCATCAATGAAAAAAGTAATTTTAGTTTTTAAAATTTCATAGTTTCTATCCATCAATGAAAAAAGCTACGGATCTAATTTCATTACATAAGAATATTTATAGTAATTTTAAGTGCAACGTATTTCTTTTTTTTTTATCAAACGTAGTTTTGACATAAAACACAAAATTTGATGCAATGTAAGAAGATAGAATGTAGGCTCAATTTGATTTGATTCAATTAAATTGAAGACTAGACATGTTAGAATGATATATTAGCCCTTGTAAAAGATAGTTTGTGGATGTAGCAATTTTTTAAAAATGTGAAAGTAAATGTTCCATAATTGTCTATATTTAGCTAAACTAGTCTGGCCCAACCTATTTGGCTAGTCCTCTATGTGTCATGCCCTTGTTACACAAGATGGCAAAATCAAGGGTAACAACCACAACCACAACCACATCATGTTTGGTTACGAGCAGTTGAGCTATTGATTCCCAATGTTCACCCAATGACAAAAAGCAAAGCAAATCGACTCTCTCGAGTCCTATGAGTGCATAAGTAACCTTTAAAAGGTTCTAGTTTATTTTAGCCAATGTACTTTTTATATTGCATCAATTGTCTAAAACAAACTCTCTAGAAAAGGGTTCAATATATATAAACGTGATGAGAGATTGTCACTTATTTTGGTTTGATCAGTTCAAGTGGTGATAAACCATTTCAAGCTCTCATAAATTGGCTATTCAACAATGCACTCATGATGTCTTTGCTAATCATATAGTTTTTTAAGATCATGAATAAAAGAAATTTTGAGTTGTACTTTGTGGTGTATTTCTGATAATCAAGTGTTATTCTCTTACAAAAACCTTTATTTTAAATAGCTATCATGAATTCAGTCTTTGATACACTCAAGATGGATCCAATCAGATGATGATAAGTGGATAGTGACTCTTCATAGTGTTATCAAGTAGTGGTATCACTTTCTTATTTTGTCTGGATAGTGGGTTGATAATTCATAGTGGCTTTTTTATAAATATGGTGAGTCCTTCCATAGTAATACAAATAACTTTCAAAATGGTACTTTTTTCTATAGTTTAAATATTTGTACAACTCTTGACATCATTCATAATTCGATAAAATTCTCTTCTTGTTGGGTCATGTATTTTGATGACCTAATATAGAAGGCCTAACTATGCTATTATACTCAATAATAACATGTTTAGTGAGATCTAGCAATTCAACTTATATTTATGGCTATTATAATCTAAAAAAACATTTTTAATGCTCTTTCATAAGTCAAGGCTGAATATAGCTTAGTTGACTTATAGTCTGAGGTCTTTTACCTCTAACTTTTCTCCTAAGGATCATACCTAGCTCCTCTCTCATCTTCAAAAAAGCCAGGGGAACCATTGAAGGGGCTATTTTTCGAAGTCAGTGAAAACTTCTTGATACAATTAAGCATCAGTCAAGTCAAAAAAGAAGGTGGTTACGTTTAAAAAAACACAAATTTAATTAGATCAGAAAAACACTTTATATAATTTTGTGTGGAATTTTGACTTAAATTGGATTCTTTCTTTTTGCAATCTCCCTACAAAAGCCATTTGTTAATTGAAACCTAATCTTGGTCCTTTATGGTGAGAGATTACTATCACTATTGAGATAGTATGTTTCATCCATAGTCAGTTTAAGGATTAGTTGTTTAATCCCTTAGGGTTGTTTTTGTATGATTGAATCTATGGGGCCTAATGGTAGCTGCATAAATGCCCTACTTCATGTCTATTTGGATATTTTGTGTGATTCAATCCTTCATTTCTAAAAGTATTTATTAGTTAACTTTTGAGTTTTTAGGTACAAAGATGTTTCTCTACTGTTTGGTTTCTAACTCTTTGCATCAATCTATGTTATCTGCTTTTGAAATGTTGTTGCATCCAAATTTTTACATGGTGATACCCAAACCCTACTTCTAGAGCCCAAAAAATCTTGATGGAAACAAGAGTAGAAATGAAGAAAAGAAAAAGAGGAAATATTCAGGGCAGAACCATAAGCTTAAAATGGTTTCAAGCACTGTATCCTAAAAGCTTATAGTACATTTGATATTTTTATGATTTTGGGCGCTAGACAAAAATTTAAAATCGTATCTTGAAAAATAAATAAATAAATAAATTCTTTAATTTGTATAGACTCTCGAACAAAACATTGAAGAAGTTATAGAGTACACGTGGATGATTTTCTTGATAAGTACTTTGAAGGCTTCTATGACAAAGTTGATAGAGTAGAGGGCTAATATTGTGGGGTCATCTGATTGAAGAGATGAAATTACAAATGTTCATCTATACACTAGGTGAATGCCACACAGTTGGATGATTGACAATAAGCTAGATGAGCACTCTAAGCAAGTGAGCACCTCTACAATAACAACAACAACAACAAAACCTTAACCCTGCTATGTGGGGTCGGCTACATGAATCCTTTTTCTCCATTGGGTCCTATTTAATGTCATATTTTCATGTAGTTCTAATAAATTAAGATCATTTTTTTATAAAATAAGCCCAAGTCTTCTTTGGTCTATCTCTGTCTTTCTTAATATAAGTCAAATCTAAAGCATCTACTCTCCTAATCGTATCATCAGATGGTCGATGTTTAATGCGACCAAACCATCTAAGACGTTTTTCTGTAATTTTGTCCATCACAGGAACTACACCAACCCTATCAGGAATATATTAATTACTAGGTGAGCACCTCTGAGCTTAAAAAAATGCTTTCTTGCACCTGACAAGTGGTACTTTGATGTGGGAGAGTTACGTCTGGTCTTCGTCTCAAAATAAACATTTTTTATGTACATTATTATCATCACTTATTATGATTTATTTTGTACATCAACAAAGCTAATGACATTGTCTTCACAAACTTGTGAGGCCTTATTTGATTAGAAACAAGATTATATTTCTCTGGATAGATAATTGGCTTGATTCTGGAACTGTTAAGTTATCTTTCATTGGCTAATATCTTCAACATAAATTGTATTATGAACTGCTGCATCATTTCTCAATTGAAGAAGATTTTCTTCGTTAAATCTCTCTTTTATGCTCGATCAAATAGAAGTTTTCAGTGGAATAATTGCTTAGACAATTTGGAATAAATGGATTCTTAGAAGCCATATTTTAAAAGCTGCTCTTTCTTATTATTGGAATCATTTTGTCAAATATTTATGGTATTTTTGAAGAACAATTTAATTTTTTTTCTATTTTCTATTTTTCAGTTAAACTTTTGCTGATGCAATCTAGAGTGCCAAATTCAAATACTTGAATTCTACTCTCCATGCTTTGCACTTCAAAAACGCATTCTATTTGATGCTATCTTCAAATCTTTAACGGCTACAAAGATTTTCTATCAACCATCTTGAATGAAAGGAATTAAGAAAAAAATGTTCCCTAAAATAATAATTCTTCCATTTCTTTAACATAGACTGATATTTCCATTTACATAAATCAAGATGATAGATCATCCTGTAACAAACCAATAAGCTCTTTGGATGAGATCCGTCTGAGAAGACCTGACATTGATACAAGACCAAATCTTTCTCTCTCTCTCTCTCTCTCTCTCTCGCTTTGTCTTCTAATCAAAATGTTTGTTTTATTGTATATAAATTTTAATGGTTTTATTTTCACTTCGGAGTTTTCTCTGTAAAGGCCCATCTACCCCCAAGTAGATACTTTTATTTAAGATGGTTAGTAATAAATTGCAAATTGTGTAGCATGAATTACAGATATCAGAAAAAAACAACTTTTTTTTTTCATCACGGAGCTATGATTCCTTACACCGTAGTAAAAAATTCTAGCCGCATTAGTTAGCATCATTCATTTTTTGAAAAAATATTGATGGAAAACAACAAAGACCAGAAGAAAGTTTGGGTCTAATTTCTATGAAAATTTAACTAATAGTTGATATTTAGTAGTAGTATTTTAAAAGAGCTTGAATATAATTCAGAATTAATTGTGTTCGTTGCTTGAAATTTTTACCTTAACAAAACCACCAAACCATAATATAACAACCTTCTTAATATAGCAAATATCACACCTATCTTATTTTGCTCTTAAAAGACATTTTTGTGTAACAAATGAAGTTTTTCTTCCCTTTCCTTGCACCGATATGGTGAAACTAAATAGGATTTGTTGCAAAAAAACTGTTAAATTTTGCTGAATTCTATGTAATCATACCCAAAGAATTTGAGCCTCTTATGCAAGGGAAGGAGAAGTCTTTTTAAACTAACCCTCCTCCCCTAGCTTGTCCTGTATGACCCCACGCCAATTATTAGTATTGGGACAGATCTGGAGAAATGTCTACAGTTTACGCCATGCTGGACTTGTCTCATCACTTCGGTTTCCTATGTCCTCAGACCTCTCCTCGTTCTTAACCTTTTATATATAAGATAACCAGAAACATTGCATGCCTGCAACTGCATGTTATTGCTTACTTTCTTCTGAGATCTCCATCTGCTTTCTTTTCTCTTTATGTTCTTCTGAGTTTTATGATATCCATATTTCATCAGATGGAGCTTTTCTCAAATGATCAGAGCCAGTTTTCATTTATGGACAATGTGTACCTTCTGGACTCTCCTTCATACATTCCTTCGAACATGCAGGAGAAACCAGAGGAGCCATGCAACGAGCTCTGCTTGCCATCCTCTTACTTTAACCAGCACTTTTTCTTCTGTTTCTTCATTGATGGAAACATTTACAAGCTCAATGGTGAAATCAGAAGACCTCCAGTCGAAGAAAGGGAAACAGAGCAATGTAAAGTCCAAGGTGAGAAAATATATATCAGCCAAAAAGATTTCGGTTTTATAAGATTGGTCAACTTGATTCTTATTTTGTATGAATCGTTTGAAGAGCAAGAGGAAGAGAACGAAGAAGAGCTGCTCTGAGAAGAAGTTAATGGAGGAGACGAAGCCAGTAACAGATTACATTCATGTGAGAGCAAGGAGAGGACAAGCAACGGATAGCCATAGCCTTGCAGAAAGAGTATTCTTTTTATACCATTCATTAAATTTAACACCTTGAATTCATCGGTGGATTATGAAGCTTGCAGAAGCTTTACTCTATTTTTGGATTTAAATAGGTGAGAAGGGAGAGGATAAGTTTGAGGATGAAGGTGCTGCAAGATCTTGTTCCTGGATGCGAGAAGGTGAACCCTCAAGCCCCATTAATGCATATATATATATATATATATATATATATATAACATCACATCATTGAGATCCTATTCTAGATGGTCAATTGATTGTCTTAAAAAATGGAGGCATTCATAAATTTTTTTGTTTATTGGAAAAATTCTCTTACCTCTCCCCAGGACTTGTGATTGATTTAGGACAAGTAGTGATGCTTGAGCCTATGCTTGTATTAATTATATGTGAATTCTTTGAAGATGGGCCGGAGTGCTAAGGCAAAGTATCTTAATCATCATGATGATGATCATCATCAATTTTAATATTTGATACATATAACATTATAGTTTTACATTTGATGTTTTATTTATTTGCATTCTGTTGGACGGCTTTGTTTCACCAAGTCATCATGTTATGAGATATTTTGGGTAATTTGTGTCATTTTAAATATTTTAGCTTGCAAACTGGCCATCCTATATGCCTTGATCGGCCCCTTCATTTTCCTCGCTTGCATTTAATTTAGAGGGATTTACACACATGGTAATCTAAAATTAGGATTTACATATTCAAAACCTAAGCTTCTCAAAAAGTATATATATATATATATATATAGTGTATTTATTTCTTTATTTTCTTATTATACCAAAAACAGCAACATAAAAATAAAAAAATAAAAAAATTTGTGCTGCTCCACAACACAAACATATTAAGAATAAAGAGTAGGTATAATATGCTGTGCTTTGATGAACATATAGGTTACAGGAAAGGCTCTTATTCTGGAAGAGATAATAAATTACGTGCAGTCTTTGAAGAATCAAGTTGAGGTAATTAAATTTTCTAGAATTTTAGCTGCTTAATTATCCAGTACTTTTTATTTGCAATATTTTTTCCTAATCCTGACAAGGCTTTGCTGAACAACTTTCCAGTCTCTATCTATGAAGCTTGCATTTGTGAATCCAATTCTGTATGAATTTGGGTTGAATTTTGATGATTTTACAGGCACAACAGAGGCAAGGACAATGATCTCATCTTTGATAACTATTTCACAATTATTTGATTATTTTTTAATGATAATAATAATTATAATTTCAGCATCTGGACAGTAATCCACAACTAGTGTCATCTATGATCCAATTCAGCAACATTCAAAGCACAGCAGACAGCATCATGGTGATGGACACTTCATCCACTAGTGTGCTCTGTGGTCAAGGACCCACAGCATTTCCTCAGGTTTGCCTTCAAATTTGTGCTATATATCTGCTGCTGAAAGGATTGTGTTGTGATAATATTTTCAAAAAGTTTTTGTGTCAGCAAAATGACCAAAATATTTAACTATCAAGATTTAGAAGATATTAAAAAATAATATTTTGTTTATTTTTGAATGCTCTCCAACATTTTCTTTTTAGTATTTATTCTTCATCATTTTGGCTACTTTCCATATAAAACATAAGATTTGAGGATATCCAGGTAAGAAAAATCTAATCTTTATTAGTTTGGGGCATTTACATACACACCACTCATTCTTTTGTATTTATCTGACATCTGAACTTTGATCTTTACATTTATACCATCTAAATCTTTTATATCACACGAACAATACTTCTGTTTTAACTTTTTAAAATGAAATACTCTTTTTCATGTATAGGACATGTGGAATATAGGCTAAAAAATGAATTTTGGTTGTTAGATATGTAAAAAATTAAGATTTGAGAGGTATGCATGTAAATCTCTCTTATTTCTTCTGTCATTTTGCTGATATTAAATGAAACATAATTTAAGTTTCTATCCCCTTAATATTTAATCTAAGACTGAAATGGCTTGTATAAACAATTTTGGCAAATGTACTTCAAATTATTTAGTGGATCAAAATGACTTAAATTTTTTTATTAATTCAACTCAGCCACTGCCTCTCTTCAATTTATCTTCAACTATCACATCTGCCTATTTTGAATTTTTATCGTTGTTATAACTTTATTTGAAAGAGGTTTGGACGTAGCAGGTTCAAGTTTGTGATGTAATTCAAAACAATAAAATAACGCATTGAAGGAGACTCATATTTCCATGTTTCATTGAACGAAAGGCTTGATGTTAAGAACATCTGTTTTTCATCTTTTTGTCAGTCATGCACGTAAATGAGTTCTTTTAGCCTCTGTTGCATGGGTTATATATAGAAAACATGGATTGATATCTTCAATGAAATTCAAGTCACATGCATCGTAGACTTAATTTAATTTTAGGTATGAGCAACATCTGAGATTTGAATATTTTGTATCTATCTTGATTGATTTAAATTTGGCTTGTATGTTTGTTGGGAGTTTCCAGAACTTGTTCAAGGGATCTAAAGCCACAATAGAGCATACCACACCACACCAAGAAATCTACAATTAAAAGAAAATGAAGAAAATCATACAAATTACACCACAGCACGTAAGCTTCTCCACACTTTGGAACACTCTAGATACTCATCCCCTTCTCATTGCACAAGAGAATTTAAAATTCAACTTTCCTCAATGAGCAAAGCTGACATAGTAAGTAAAATATTGCCTAAAATTGGTTATGGGGGTCAGGGCACCATGATGTAGCTAGTGTTACAATGCTCTAGTAAGTGTTGCGGCGCTACAACGATCCGGGCACTGTAGTTTCATGCTCTCAGTTTCTAAAAGCTAAACTGGTTGTCGAAGTTGTCTTGCGGGAGCTAGGGCGCTGCTGGTTTCAGCGCTGGGTCGCTAAAAGTATGCCAAGGTGCTATGTTCGAATAAATTTTTTTTCTTCGCACAACTCCAACAAACCCAATACTACCCCACCCTCGACAAACTCACCATCATCAAGCTTGATCGGTGAAATTAAAGGCTGAAAGATGATAATTTATTGTTACAACCAGGCTCCACATTTTATCAAATACTATTTGAATAAAGTTTGGTGAATTGAATTTGAACAAGTGAAGCATTAGGCTCGTTTCTGATAACCTGAACCCGCATTAAATCATTTCAAATGTATTTAACATCATCTAATTCTAAGATTTCTAAAACTATACAATGACTACACTTACTCAAATATCAATCTATGAAACCTACACCCATAAAATAATCAAATTATTTATTTTTAATTTTTTTTAGGAATTATAAAAAGTAATTCAAAACATATTCTTAAAAAAAAAAATGTAATAGATATAGTAGTTTAAATGTGGACATTATGTATATTAAAAAGTAATAATTTTCTATTTTAAAATAATAAGTTTTAAAATGGATTAATTAATTGCCATCCAACTCCTTATATTCCATGAAGGATCTCTTATCATTTGCACGTAAAATAATTATCTCATGTAAATACTTATGACAACAAAATGATACTGATCCAAGTTAAATTTACTGAGAATCATTAGGCCAGAACATGCCAAAAACGCTTGCATTAAGAAAAAAATCTGTGTCCTGCATTTTTTGGTAAACTTTTTGTGACATTAGTTTCGACCATCATGCAAATATCATTCCATGCTAAGAGTGGTGCATTCATTTACTATTCTAACTTGCATAAAATAACAAAACATTACATCAAAATATCCTTCAAAATTTTTTGATACAAATGGGCTTTAGAAGTTACATGCATATGTTGTAGGATAAATGTTATATTACCTGTAAAAAATGCATTCTGATAATTTTTAATCAAGCAGAATTGTGTAACACTAATCAAAACTTGTTTCTCCATAATCCTTCATGAAAACCGACGTTTTTCACCTTCTTCTAAATCTGTACGTCACGTTCAGGATGCTGGGAGTTATTTTCTGCAAGTGGACGGCCAAACAGAAGCCCTTGACCACCAAGTTGATCTCTACAGCATGAGTTATTTTCAACAGAATTAAAGGTAGAAAGAGATAAGACCCATAAACTAAGGTGAGAGAACTCAGTGATTCCTGTATAGCAGTTGGATTTCTGTTCTTTTGTTTCATCTTCAGACTTCATCTAATCTTTAATGGCGTTTTAATGTTTAGATGGTATGAGAATCGCATGATATGTAGAAAGATGATGAATTTAAAAGAAGAAGAAGCAGAGAAGAGATTCCATAGCTATTTTGATAAGACCTCAGAGAAGGGACCCAGTAGTCTATGTAAAACTAGGCGTCCTTTTTATAACATATTAAATTCAGAAAAGGTTGCTGACACAAGATGCCCATATTCATCATAGCATTGGCTATAAATTATCATTTTATTTATTTTACAAGGAATTTTTACTCTATGTAGATGTATTATGAAGAAGCTGTCATGTTGCTGGTTAGTACTTTTAAATTTCATGGCGGTGTATGATTAAAGTAAAAAATGTATGTTTTAACTTCATTCTCCCTTCGCACATTTGTTTAACATATATATGAATGCATCAAGTAAAAAATAAATTTTTTTTTTTGGATTAACTATTCCTAGCTTAATTATGTGGGACATGACATGAGATTTTATTCAGCTGCCTATCTATGCATCCAACTCACCAAGCATACATTGTTCAAGGAAAAGTAAAACGCAGTTATAACTATCTACAACGAAACTTTAACAAGAAAAATTTAAGAATGAAGGAGAAACAGAGAATTGAATATGAAGCTCTAAAACCGAATGACACAATTCATTATCCGCAATTAACACTAAAAAACGCCTTAAAAAGGAGAGCTACCAAGGTCCAGAAGCAATGGGCCAACAAAATTCCATTGCATATAAATGAAACATAAAATATTAGTAAGTGATTTGTAGCAATTAGCGATTAATATATATATATATACATGTATATGTATGTATGTATGTATGTATGTATGTATATCTGTGTGCGTGTGGATTTAGGGGTTACACGTATTAAAAAGCTTAAAATATATAATCTTGTCATTATTTGGTGATTCCAATAGCAAATATTCAATTAGTGGATCCCTCAAAGTAGCAAAATTAGTTAATATGTCATAATTAAGAAAGAATTGTGGCTTTGCCGCTGCATTGGTGTGTACGTTTGTATATCGTACTTATATATTTTATTATAATAGAAGATAATATACTAATAATTTATCATAAAAATAAGTTTGGTCACAAAGGTGGTTAATCATTCTTTATCATTAGAATGATTGTTTTATTAGGTTTGTGCATATGTTTTTTTGCTTATGAAACTCTTAGCATATTTATGTTCCATTACTATTAATAGAAGATAGTGTACTAATACAATGTATTATATAAATTTTACTGATTTATATTTATAACTACATAAAATATACACATATATGTATTTGAAGGCACGGTGAGATCAGGTTCTTCTATGTATATATATGTCACCACAATCATTTATGTGTCAATCATATAATTCATAGAGAGAACGCTTCACTACAAAGTACTCAATTATCAGACCAAGAGCTCATGAGTTTCCTCCTCACTGGTTTTGATTCATTACTGATTTAGAATCCTCATGAATATGTTCTTCCTATCTTGAACAATTCTTATTACCATGCAATTGATATGAGAACTTGGCATAAAAAAAAAGTAGTAGACAATGAAAAGTGAGGGATATCAACCCTTTCAACTATGTATATATCATACTTTAAATGCCACATATTTAAATAAAATACAAATAACATAGTTCTTTTTCTATGTTTTTTCACCTTTCCTAGCCAGTGAGACCGGATGGCTCAAAAAATATTTTTTAGCTATCTATTTATCCAATGCGCCAATGATTAAATGATATCTTGCTCAATGAAAATTAAAATGCAATAATAAAGATGTTCAACGAGATAAGGCTTAGAAATTAAACATATTGATGGCATAAAGAAAAGAAACAACAAAAAGGAAAACACAAATGAACATGAAGCTTTACGTTAAATCACATTTGTATCATGAACACTAGATGTTTTCTTGGGGTTTACCCTTTCAAAGGACCATCGAAAGTTATAGGTCGTCATATCTTTTATTAATGAATATGCTTCATCAAATGGCTTTTACATCAGTGAACCACCAGCAATAATGTCAATGATAGATCTCAGGGATTTACTTAATTATTGTAGAATGTTTAAATAATTAACTAATCAGACAGAGCGTGATGTAGAAACTTTCTAATGAGATCTTTAAATCATTCCCATACTTGTATATTGATTCAGCATCATATTGACTGCATACTGTGATATAATTCCGCAACTTAGCTGTTTTGGATGGTAGAAAATAGTTAGCTAGGAATTTCTAAGCTAAATCACCCCAATTTTTTATAGATCCAGACGCTAATGAGTTTAACCACATTTTAGTTTTATCACTTAAGGAGAAAGGAAAATGTCTTAGTCTAACTGCGTTATTTGACTCACCGTCATACTCAAATGTAGCACATAATTCTAGAAAACATGCTAGATGTAAGTCGGATCTTCAGATGGAGTAATGCTAAACTGATAGTTCTGCACTATTTGGATTATTGTAGGTTTCAGCTCAAATGAGTTAGTTGTTATGACAAAATTTATATACTAAGGTGAATTTCATCTGCCGTTTGGTTTGCGTAATACATTAACAGTCTCTGTACGTGATGAGGATCATTTTCAACTTTTTGATAATCTAAGTTGTTATGTGAGGTATTCCCCATTTCTTCTACACGTTGTTGAGATTCTTTTTGTTTTCTAATTTTTTCTAATGGTTCTTTCTAATTCAGAATCGTAGAACACGAATTCTGTAGATCCTAAACTACGTATACACTACTAGAGCTTAATACCAAAGTAAAAAATAAAACACACAAAATCACTAATACTAAATTATATATATATATTAAATTATTATTCTAACTCAATGGTCTTCGGACACTATATATATATATATATATATATATATATCTGTGCGTTTGTGTGTGTATGCATTTGAAATTTAAAATAATTTTTAAATATTTTTTAACACACAACAAGCACATAACACACAGAAATACAACACTAAGGGTTTTCCAAACTAAGTCAATTTTGTTTAGCAGAAATTTTCCTATGTCAATTTATCCGTCACAGTTCTCCAGTAATGGTGTCATAAACTTGACCACAACTTTCTCTATAGTACACCTAGTGATTTAGGAGCTTATTATTATAACTTCAAAATATATTTATAACTCAAGATTTTCCGCAATTAAATTTTATTAACAAGGTATTAACGCAAGTGCATGTATTGCTCAAGTAATATAGAATTTTTGTTAAACCCTAGTATCGATCACACAGGGAAGGCAGTAAATTTTATAGACTTAAGAAGAGCTCTACTGGAATTTAAGGAGTCTTAGCTAGAAAATAGGTTCGATGTTTAATATAAACTAAGGAAATCTACTAAATTATTTCTACTCTTCTAAGTTTGATAAATAGTTAAATACGCTAGGCTAAATTAAGCAGAAAGTTCAAGCTAATTAGAGGTTCCCTCCCCTTGTAATGAAATAATGAAACTAGTAACTAGTATCTATTGTATGTGTAAATCAACTGAATTTTCTAAATAAACCTGTGACAAATATGAGCATATATTTTCTTTACCCTTTTTCAAGTGCAAAAAGAAACTAGGTTAGCTCAAAAATTATTTCTACCTGTCACCGTAGAAAACTCCTAGTTCTCCCCATTAAAATCATCTTCCTATCCATTTGCACTAACCTAAGGACTACTTTTCCTTCACCCTATAAATTGGTGTGGTTTTCACTAGTTGTTTGAAGCCATAGCTCTCCCGGATCTTATGGTTTCACAATGTATTTTAGCACTACAATTGGCCAAATTACAACGTAAATGCAGTTCAAATGAAAAACCATCACAATTAATAAATTAACATGATTCCAATTAAATTTAGTCCGTACACATGCTGCTATTTCATCACAAAAGGAAGGAAACAAGTAAACTACTCAGATTTTATGGAGAAAACCATAAATCAGAACATCTTATATTAAAACAATATCAAGTACTATAAATTGTTCCAATACAAGACAATGAAAATACAAGGAACTTATCTTCTTCCCTGAGAAATGAAGAAATCTCCACTCAATTGTCTTCTCCTTGCAATCTTACAACACTTCCTTACACCTCTCACAAAATTTAAAGTAAAATACCGGAAAGAAAAGAAAATCTTTTACTTTTTCTTCAATTCCCTGCAGTGCTCTCTTCTTTCTGGACTTCCCTAATGTGTTCTCCCTTTCTCTCTATTGATTTACTAAAGAAAAACCCTCCTTGTCGTGTGAATAAACTTTTGGAAAACCATCCACATAGTTTTGGCGCTTAGGTGCCACTCCCTTTGTCGACTGAAAATTTAAACTTACGCCTATGTGCTAATATGTGGCGATTAGGCGCCACTTTCTCTATAAAATCTATAGGGCCGCCTAGTTCAGGTCCAAGTCTCCCTTGCTCCATGTGCTCCATTTTCACTCCAGTCACTCCAATTGCTTAACCTGTTATACCTGCAACCAAAAACATGAAAATACATTTTATTAAAGTGCAATATTGTCAAAAATAAGAATAAAATGCAGGAGGGAAAATAACATGTTAAAGGACAAGTCAGTTTGCAGTGACGAGTATGCTTAATGCTATGAGTGGCTTTTCATTTAGAAAATAAAATGTGAAAAAAATAGAATCATACAAGGTTGGGTTTAGCTATGGTGACAAACATCACTACAATACTACTTCTACTCTTAAACTAAAATACTTAGTGAAAATCAAAAAGTGGAGTTTAAGTTTAATATATTAATATATTAAAAGTACCCTTCCTCATGTAATGAAATTAGTGACATGTATAAAAGTAAAACAAGTAGTAAGAGAGATTATGACTAATAGGAGCAACTATATTCTTTACCCTCATTAAAGTGATATAAAGAACATTGGCTATTTCATAGTTTAAGAATCTTAAAGACTTGTTAGGCATGAGAGATACTAGCTCTCACTCTAGAGTCTCTCCGTCCCCTCACCTAAAGGCTAACATCTAGTATTAATACCTAAAACTACCTAAAACTAAGAACAAAACTAAGAACCAAATTGGGGGGCTTTAGCCCGTTACTCTAAAGTCCTCAAATTCTACACTCATCAAAGTATATCTCCCTATTTATTTGCACTCAATCATATAGACTACATTCTCATCCATATAATCTCATGTGATTCTATCACAATTGATTGAGACAACACCTTCACAGATCTTACATGTTCTCACAATAGATTTTAACATGTAAGTTGATCAAGTTTACATGTAAATGAAGAATAAAGTAAAATAATCACAATATATTATCACTCTACTTAATTCTATATCCTACACATGCAT